CTAAGATCATTAACAAGCTCCTCCCGTGTAGTTCGGGGCTGCTCACTCACCTTTCTCATGATCATCCTTACCCCATGAGGCAAGATCTTGCACAGAGCTCCAGACCGAGGCCGATTGATGGCTGTTTTGTATTTCTTCCATTTCCGAATAATAATAATAATAATTGCACCAACAGTTGTCTCCTTCTCACCAAGCTTCTTGCTGATGGTCTTGTAGCCCATTCAAGCTTTGTGCAGATCTACAATCTTGTCTCTGACATCCTTTGACAGATCTTTGGTCTTGCCCATGGTGGTGGGAAAGGTTGGAATGGAGGATACAGATTGTGTGGACAGGTGTCTTATACACCTAACGAGCTGACATTAGGAGTAACTTCTTAAAGTGGAAGGACTAATCTGTGTTCCACATGGGCACATAACCAATCTGTGGGAGCCAGAATTCTTGCTGGTTGGTGGGGGATCAAATACTTATTTCACTCACTGAAATGCTATTTGTTTGGTCTTTGTGGTTGATATTCTGTCTCTATCCATTAAAATAAACCTACCATAAAAATTACATCCCCTTCATTTCTTTGTAAGTGGCAAACTTACAAAATCAGCAGGGGATCAAATAAATATTTTCCCACCTGTACAATTGTATTCTTTGTTGTTGTTGTTTTTATTAGTTTTTGTTGTTTTTAAATGTCTATATTTTATTAAATGTTTATTTCAGTTTTAGTTCGTTATTTTAGAACATCAAGATAAGCTAAATGAAAATGAGAAATGTTGCTTTGTCAACTTTTTTGTATTTTATTTCAATTAACATATTTTATTTTAAGTAACAAGTTTTAAAATATTTTCAAGTTTGTTTATATATATAGTTTTAGTTAACTATAATAACCCTGTTGTAAAAAAAAATACTAAACTGTCTTAATCAATATCTACTCATAATTTATCTTTCAATAAATAAATATGAAGATCTATTTACTTATCAAGCACTTTTAACAGCTTTTTAACCATTTTAACTATTTAAAAGTTTAACCATTGCTTTTAGAAAATGTATATATGCAAATGTATGAAAAATTAGTGAGATTAATGCTTTAATAAAGTAAGAACTTACATTAAAAATATCATCAAAACAATAAAAAAATGTATAAGTATAAACAAGTATTTGGCATATTTATTTAACTATTTGGTGTTATTTGATAAATACCAAAATAAAAAATAATAAAAAAATAATAAATGGCTGTTTGAAAGCAGGTAAATACCCTGACTTCCTGACAAGCAGGTAAGAAACAGAAAGTTGCTCTTGTGCAGCGCTTTTGTGTACAGGGGTGTACGTGGTAACGGCTGTATTTCTGCTGTTACTAAAGTGCCACCTCCTGTCAGAGAGTGATCTTGCATTTTTTTAGCACGTCTGCTGCTTTTGTTCAGATCAACGAGAAAATCTGACCGAACTTTTACGCAGCAAACGTGCGGTGTTGTAAAACCATTCGGATAAGAAAACCATTCGGATAATAAGATATCTAGAATTATTCACGTATTTTGAAGTGCCCAAGATAATAATACTATTCATTTTCATTACTGTTAACATTGGCACAGCACATCTTCAAAGTGCTTGCAGCACGATGCAGCAACTGCCATTTCAACAATATATTTTCAAAATCCATCACTTACTCTTATCTTGCTCACTTTCTTTTTTTTTTTTTTTTTCACTTCTCTGCACCACCTCTTCATTTTCAATGGCTGGCACTGGACCTGAAAGAGGAACTGATTCACGAAATGACGCAACAGCGCTCGCGTCTGATGTAGATATGTTAGGATCACAAGGTAGGCAATTCAAAGACTATTTTTCACAACTCACTACACTTGTAATCTTGTAATGTCATCTGTCTGGTTCTGTTGATGGAGTAATCCTGTGTTTGCGTCTCTCTAATATTCCCTCTCCTACTACAAGTGCATATCAGTGGGTGGGGCTAAAGAGGCAGTGATGTAGAAGCAGGCGTTGATCTTCTCCTGTGGAGGCGGTGCTTAGCCACACTATTACGTCATAAAATGGCACATTCCAAATCAAGTTGTTTTCTGAGCTTGGTTTCAATAAAAGCTGTTTTTAAACTAACGAGAAAGTTTTGAGTTTTGAAACTTGAATTATGTTTTTATAGTACATTGACCTGTTATAGTATGTCAAAAGATCAAGGGAAATTAGATTGTTCAGTTCATGACCACTTTAACCCTTTGAGCGGTACAGTCCCACATGTGAGATTTTTATTTCTGTGCCCCTGAGAGTACGGTCCCACATATGGGATTTAGAACGTTCGGTAACGCCACATAACTGCCAAATTCAAACTACTTTCGCACTTTGGCTGGCGCTGAGACGCGCTCTGCACTTGTCATATAATCGCAGTGTTTTAACCACATAATGTTTATTTTCAGACATTTAAATACACATAAGTAGTAAAACAATGCATTTAGAGTTTGTAAAATACACACAGATGTCTATGTAAGCAGCAATAACAATCCATTCAAATATAATTTGCCCACATATTTTATTCATATCAGATACACAGTGTAAGTAACTATAAAGATTACTCTGTTCTTCTCCCAGTTCACCAGCCACTTACTTGCATGAATTTTGGGAGAAATTGATGAATTCTCGTGCTGTAAATCCGACTGACAGGACTCTCTGAACTGCAGCGCGAACAAACATGGTGGCGCCCATCGCACGTTATAGATCACGATTAAGCTCATTTATGACGGTTTTGAAATGACACAACACACTCACTTACATGTATTTGTGAATCAGAATATCAGATAGTTGATGACATGGCAAGCAAGTGAATGTTTTGAATAAAAAAGGAAAAACAACATAAAAGCGATCCATCTGTCATACAGTATTTTCTTGGCTGCGGTGTGTCATGTGACAAGCATGACACGCTGCCATGGAAGCATAAGGGGAAACGTTGTGAAATAACGGTCGCCTAAAAAAAAGAAATGTAAATAAAAAAATAAAAAAATAAATTTAAAAAAAGCACACACACTCACTCTGGGGGGACTGCTAGAATATTTTAAACTCACCAGTGAAAAGGTTCAAATAATCACATTTTGTTGTTTTGCAGCCTGAAATGAAGACAGACATGGTTTTTGTTTTATCCAGCTGTATTTACTCAGTGCAACTTATAACATCCAAGTGAAAGATATAACAACAACAAGTCAGTTTAAAAAAAACAAAAAAAAAACAACAATCACCAAGTTGGAAAAAGGATCACCCCCTTGTGTCAGTTTTTAGTACCACCTTTTGATTTAATTATAGCCTTTAGTCTGTTGGGATATGCCTCTACTGACTTTGTGATATTTGCCCACTCTTCTTTGCAGAACTGCTCAAGTTCAGTTAAATTTGATGGTGAGTGTTTGTGGACTGCAATCTTGAAGTCATTCCACAGATTTTCAATGGGGTTTAAGTCAGGGCTCTGACTAAGCAATGCAAGGACATTCACCTTTTTCTCCTTCAACCACTATGTGGTCAGTTTTGCTGTGTGCTTTGGGTCATTGTCATTTTGGAAGTTAAACCTTGACAAGTTACAAACATTGACAACTTTCTGGCAGAGGACAGCAGATTTTCCTCAAGAATTTGATGGTATCTTGCCCCATCAATTTTTCCT